AAGAGTAATTATTCTCAACAAACCACATGCCCTTACAAGTCATTTGACTAAACACTGGGAAAGCCTTATATCCTCCATATTACTTTCAGCATCATAATCAACCTTTTGTCTCGGTAGCACAGAACAACAGAGCAGGGAGGTGTAAAATATGAGTAAAGTAAACATATAAGCTGATATAAAGCTGGCTATGGCTGAAGTAGCATAACTGATCCTGAACTTTTGAGACCTATACCGATACTGGTGTGTGAGTTTAACATTATATCTCATACGGGTGTGCCTTTCTTATATTCTAATATTTTTTGATAAAGATACCTTAAATTAGGCATTTCTGTACTGCAATTTATTGTTGCTTTTCAGCCGAAATATACACAGACAATGATAAACCAAACTAAAACTAAAATAAACTAAAATTGGCTGTCAGGCTCTGCCATAATTTATTATTGTGCTTCGACAGCACCACTTACTTCAAGCCAAAAAAAGATGTGTCCCAATTATTAATATTTTTTTCCCATTTTTAAAGTTATGTCCACTCACTTTGAACATTTATTTAGTACAATAGCTCAGTTGTTATCCAGGACCTGTTCTTTTCCATTTGAAACTGATAGTTAAATTGCAGCAGTTAGTCTAGACTTTACACTTACCTCACTTACCTACACCTATTATCAGCTTGTAGAATGAGCCTGCAGGATTTTTTTTTCATTTTGTACAATCACAATCAAGTAGTGGTTTTGGAATATCTGGCTGTATTAATAGTTTAATCAATTGAAAATCCAGATCTTCTGTCAGCATGAAATCTCTACCGCACATTCACAGACTAACAGTAAATGGCTAATGAGACAGTACATCTGACTTGTCCTAAAGCACACTCAGACTCTTGCAAAGGACTGGGCTAAACAACAATTTCAAATACTTTTGGCTGAAAAAAAAAGTTTAAATAAAAAGTACCATAGTAGCACTTCATTTTCCGAGGGCTTAAAACATTAACTAGTATTATTTGCAATGTGCAGCAGTGCTATTGGGTCCTTAACCTTAATGCTCCAATGTAGCATGTGGCTCGCAAAGCCTTTTTGTGTGTGGTGAGAGCTGGGAAAAGCTGCTAGGGAAATGCTTCATGGGACCTTTTGTGTAGGGTTCAAGTACACGTTTCTGGGACTGGAGGCCTTCCCTGAACTGAACAAATTTATTTAAAGCTGCTGCTGTTGTTGACATTGACCGTTCATCATGGTTTCGACCTAATCTCAACTTTACCATTGAAATTTTGTTCCACAATGAGGAGGCTAACCTGCCTTCTGAGTTAAATGACGTAGGTCTAAACTTAAAGCATTCATTCAGATATGTTGATTATTCTAAAGCATATGTGCCTTTTTTATTATGTGGTTTTCATACAGAAAACCGAAGGTTTCAAGGCTTCAGTATCTTGGAACATTTATAGGTCCTTGGTCTGTGTGAATGTAATCAGATGCCATTGAAATAAAAAGGATGTAAAAAAGGAGGTATATAGGCGTAAAGATATAAGCAAGGAAGTAAAAAGGAAGTAAAGAATGAAGTTAGGGCTTAAACAAGATGTAAAAAGGGAAGTAAAGAAAGTATAGAAAGAAAGAAAGTAAAAAGAGAAGTCAGGAAGAAAAATAAGTACAGAATGAAATAAGGAAGGAAAATGAAAGTACAGAAGTAAAAAGTAATTAAAAAAGACAAGAAGAAAAGAAAGAAGTAAAAAGGAGGTAAAGAGGTGAAAAAAGTGAAGAAGGATGTAATTAAGTAAAAAAGAAATAAAAGGGAAGTTAAAAGGAAGTGAGGATGTCTTTTCCAAGTCACCTTCCATGAGGCTGTCTGTTACTGTTGGGTCTCACGGTGTCACAGACAAGATGCACTTCTGTTAAGTCCACAAGGGCTTAGGTCTGTCTCGTTGCAGATTCAGCAGGTGCTTAAGGGCTCCAATATGAACTTTATAGGAGCCTCTGTGTGGATTTTTGTATCTGCAAACCTGCAGACTTTCTCAAAGAAATTGGATGTAATCGCTTTGGTTATAAGAGTTACGAGTTTTCAGTTATTTATTACACTGGTTAGGAAATTAAGACTCAGACAAGATACATTTTCCCTTTTTGTCTTTGTACATAAACACATACATCATCTTTTCTTTAAAGGTCAGTCCTAAACATATACTTTGAACTTTGAATGCAGCAGCCAGTTGAAAATTTAGAGTGGTGCACAGCTCCACATGTAGCTCTTCCTTTGAGGCAGACTTCTTTGCTTTCTCCACAGAAAAATAATAGCTGAGAGAGAGCACAAAGTGATTTTGCCTTTCGGGTACACAGGCAGGTACTCACTGTTCATTTAAGCTGTAATTGCTGCAACTTGCGATTAGGAACTTAATTTTGTTTTGCAGAATTTCCTTAAACAAAGAATCATCTATAGTTCATTCGGTGGCCAACATGCAGTAATAAACTGAACCCTAGAACCAATTAAGGAGGCTCTTTACAAGGTGACAGGGACTATATCTAACTGTCAGTCATGCACAGGCAATATAGTGTATTGTTGTGCCCAGCTGAAGGCTACAGAGCACAAAGAGGAAGGTGATTTTGAACAGTGCTCAGTCAGTGAGCTCCAACAGAACAGAACAGTAATGCTGTTCACCAAACATGGCTGGTTTAATTACCTTCTCTGCAAGTTGTATGATCTACAGTGTACAGGTTATGTAATCACAAATTATCCAATTCCACATCTATTTTAAAGGACCTCAGGCCTCTGGGGATTTTAACGCTTAAGCAGTGTTAAAGCGGCACAATCAGCGGGACCCTCTCGACCTGAAACTGAGGCTGCCCCCACATCTTCCACTGGGACGCCGGTGTTTACCGCCCGGAGTGGCTGAAAATTAATTGGCTCCTTGAGCTGCCGTACATTCCCCCTGTCAGTGCGATGGCCTCCCCTCATTGCCCTGTCACTTTAAGTCGAAGTGTATTAATGGACTGTGTGGGCCATTGATTCCTAATTCCTCTCTACGTCGACATTGGGGATAAATATTGCGTGGCACGGCTGTCTTCTGGCTTATTGTAATCAGCATTGTTATTGATCGCCTGCCTGAACCCCCAAGAAGTAATCTATTTTAAATACACTTTCAGTAAAAGGGGGGCATTTTGGGCCTTGTCCCAGCACATTGCCTTCATATTGGCAAGGAAAGAGGCACAGCTACTTTAGCAAAAAGAGGGACACGGGATAAGGAAGTAGGAAGTGTCCCAAACTGGTAGGCAAAGGATAAAGAGACTGAGAGACATCCAAACAGACTGACAGATAGAAATATTGCCAGAGCCACCAAGTATGCTCAGTGAGATATATCTTGCTTTCGTGTATTGGTGGTCTCTGGGTGGTCTCTGTCAGCATGGGTATGTGTGTAAGTGTGTGTCTATGCGTCTGTCTGCGCGAGGCCGTCGAATGATGGATGAGGGCTCAGCCAGCGGCGAGCCAGACGTCGACGCTATCGATTTATCCTCACATTTGTCTGGGGGTAGGCGGTGCAGGGCGGCTCGCCACGGAGAGCATTTTCAACACAATGCGCCTCAGTATGTGATACACACACACACACACACAGACATATATAAAGTATTTTCACCATAAGTATTTCAAATGGGCAATGATTCTCTCGCGCCAGTGGAGGCGTGGAGCTTGGATTAAATTTTGTATTGTCTGTTGAGTACAATGGCCTCCTTCTTTGCCAAGGTGTTTTTATTGATCCACCTGTAAAGTGGCATCCACTTGTTTAACATCCAGTCTAATACACTTCAATTGGCGCAGCCTTGCCTCCTCGACTTGTTGTTTTGTTCATCTATGAGCCCAGAAGACGGAGAGGAAGTGTGTATGTGTGTGAGACGAGTGTGTTTGTGCTCATGAGGGCATGATTAAACCTGTGTGTGCTTCTGTGTATTCATGAAGAAAAGGTCACATGTATGTCTGTCATGTATGCCTAGTGAGTGTGTTAAATCTGTGTGTGTGTGTGTGTGTGTGTGTGTGTGTGCACAAACTCGCATGGCTGCAAATAGGTTTTTGTGCGACTGTCAGGAGTCCCTCCTTCGTCCAGCCCATTGAGCAACAAATTAAGGCTGCAAAGCAAAGCTGCCATTCTCTGCGCTCAAGGATTTGTTGTTGTTTTTTCCCCGTTACTCGCTTTGCTCATTGGGTGTTCATAATCAACGTTAACAAATTGGAAGGACATCCATTGTTCTCCCAGTCTGGCCATCTTGAAAATGGCCCCAATTACCAGGGACACGGAGGCGACATGACAGAGACGCAATCTCAGTTATGACTGAACATGATTACACCTGAGTTGGACATGTTATTAGAAGTAGATATTGATGTTGCACACTTAAAGACACACAGCCAACTCACCAGTTTTATCTTCCACCAGTTGCTTTGTCCAGCTTTTGAAAAGCAGTGGAGAGAAATCCATTCGCCTTATATATGTAGGCTGTAATTTCAAATATATATTTAATTAATTGCCATGCAAGAATTAAGAGGCATTGAAAGGCCATGCATTGCAAAACATTTATTATTTGTAATGAAGAATTATCTGTTGTGTCCACACTGGGTATCTGAATGCATGTCGACATGAAGTCAGATAGTTTCATTTCAGAAACCTTGGAGTTGAAGAATGTTTTGTACCCGGAATTGTGATTCGAGAGGCTGCTCTGCTGTATTTTTCATTTGTCAAAAGTCTGAAGTTCTGACTTTCTGACATGTCAGGAATGCTATAAAAGCTACCTGAGATTGTCTGTCTCCTAGAGTCATATATATGAGGTATGATAATGATGAAAGATTGAATCTGAATGTCTGTGTGGGTGTGCGGTTAATGATGATGACAGTTATGACAATAATTTTATGTTAGTGCTGACATTTACCGCATCGACGGGCTCAGACTGCTCCGATCATGGAATATAAAATGATAAACGGCTCCATGAGAGGATTCATAGTCATCTCTCACATTTTCTCACTCTCTTTCTTTCTCTCAGGGGATGATGTACCTGGAGGAGAGGAGGCTGGTCCACAGGGACCTGGCGGCCCGGAACGTGCTGGTGAAGTCGCCCAATCATATCAAGATCACCGACTTCGGCCTGGCACGGCTGCTGGACGCTGATGAGAAGGAGTACAACGCAGACGGGGGCAAGGTTGGTGTAAGTGGAGGCGTGAGCATGTTTTTGTGTGTGAACTACTTGTCTAAGAACAGTTTAAGACACAGGACAGCTTACATAAAGTGTAAATGCTGCAACCAAAAAGTAATAAAAACCAAAGGTCACGACTGGTGACAAGGGAAGTTAGTGAGGCTGCAGAGACAAAAGTATTAGTAGTGTGCACATCAGAATGTGAGCGTGCATCTATGTAGGCTTCAACTAATGATTATTTTCACTTTCAAATTATATTTTTCAATAATCCGTTAAGTGTCATTCGCCCAGAGCCTGACTCAATATCCTAAAAGTGCTTATTTTGTCTAGTCAGCAAGCAAAAGAACCTAAAGTATAACATTTTACTGGTGTTTGAGTTTCTGTAAACATGTCACTACAATGTCACTAATAAAACCTTTCACTCTTAAACCTTGAAGTAGAAATTAAATAATGAAGTATATCTTTCCGTTTAGTTTTGTCAAATTTTGTCAGGCGGCTCTGCAAACATGAAATAGTGATTTACTTTTCACCTTGGGTAACAGGTTGTATTTATAAGCTCAGATCAAATCAGTGTTTTCTGCTCGCTCAGTGGTCTGCCAAGAGAAACATAAAAATATGTAAATGAGAACAACTAAATCATAAGTACGGCTGCATTCAAACACAGTAGAGGGGATGATGGAGAGCACAAGAGGGCAGAACAAAGGAAACAAAATAGCCAGGCTGCGCTGGCTCCACCTTACCAAATGTTGGCTGTGATGATTAATTTTCTTGTTTACCAACAAAAAAGTGAGGAAAGAGAATAAAATATTTAGCCTTTTTTACTATTTCATATCAGGCATTTCAACATGGATGATGATCTTTACAAAATGACCAGAAAAACACATTTTCAAACGTGAATGACATTTTCAAATGTAGCCAGATAGAACACGTAGACAAAAACACAGAGGAAAGTGTTTTATGTGTCCAATTTCCAAGCTCTTATGGTTGGGAAATGTCTGGTGAACTGAGTTTCAGTAAAAACACAATTTAGAAGCACTTCATCCAAACAAATAATGCAGCCACAGTTCCAATCACTTTGTTTTGTTTGGGGACCCAGACTACATTAATCAGGAGCCCCTTCTCTTTCCCTCGCTTGAGACTTGCTATGCAAATTGTCCCGATCAACTCCCTTTATTAAATTGGCTTGTTCATTGCTGCATCTATTCAGCTGGAGGCCTGAAGGTAACCACTGCATCTTGAGTTGGCGTTTGAAATGTTATCTGCAGGCGATTAAAAAAAAAAGCAGACCAGGTGTGTTTGACGCGACCATCTGAGTGAGTGGCTCCGTGTCGGTATTCACTGATTCTATGATAAATGAGAGCTGTTGTCAGCAGATCTGCATGTGTGCCATAAAAATGGACGCACCATGAGAGATAAATCAACAGGGATGAAAGTGGAGGCGCCGCACCGCATTTCCAACCTGAAGCATTTCATTTTCACTCTTCCTGTTCATTTCCCCCGGTGAGCAAGCATGCGTGTCAGGCAGGGGCTGTATTTCAAATGACCGGCACGTGTACACGTGTGTGCATATGTGCGTTCACATGCAAAAGGCTAGATAATTGCCTTGTTCAGTGGGCTCTACAGCTGAAAACTCCCCTCTTCAGTCAATATGGAAATTATACAACAGTCAGGATATGGCGATGTGTGCCGTTGTCCTTGTCGGGAATGTCAAAGGGCCTGTTGTTATTACTATTTCACACACTGCCTGCTCTAAACCTACGAGCTATTGAGATAATGTGCGACAAATGGCCAATACAATCTCGTTTAGTATCTTAAAAAGCATGCTCACTATTGATGATCCCTGAGTTAGACTGAAGCTGATCAATCACAGTACTTGAGTAATATTGAGCAAAGCAAAACTATGGTTGAAAGCGTTGTCGATTTCCCAATAACTCACAAATGCTGGATTAAAAGATAGGGCAGCTGTTGAGCAACATAGCATAGAGGAAAAATGCCTGCAATTCAAGTGTATATAAATAAAATCTTAAGATTATAATTCAGATTTTAGTTTTTTTCTTTGCTCCTTTCATCATAAAATCCCGATTTTTATGTATTCATCCCTCTCTCCTCAGATGCCCGTTAAATGGATGGCTCTGGAATGCATCCACTACAGGAAGTTCACCCATCAGAGTGACGTGTGGAGTTATGGTGGGTGACAAATGTTTTGTTAATTGACGTCACTGTTTCTTATGCTCATACCTGTGGGAGGAAAGCAGTCAATGACCTGAAATCCTGTGTCCTTTATTTGCATTTTCGCCCCCTTATCTTGTTGTTGTTCTCTGTTGTTCTCTTGTGGCTCCTGTCTCATCTTCCTATCTCTCCCTGTCGTGTTCTCTCTTTCTGTTTGCCTTCCTTCAATGCTGCCCCCCCCCCCAGGAGTGACCATCTGGGAGCTGATGACATTCGGAGGCAAACCGTACGACGGCATCCCCACGCGAGAAATCCCAGACATTCTGGAGAAAGGGGAGCGTCTGCCCCAGCCTCCCATTTGCACCATCGATGTCTACATGGTCATGGTCAAATGTGAGAAAACACACTTAAACATACCATTGTTTTTCTTTTTTTATGTCGGCAAATACATCCAGCTCTAGTCTAGAAAGAGGCTGTCCAAATACTGCTGTCCTTAACAATGATTGTGCTTTACTCTTATTGACTCTTT